GTGTGTGAGGAATCTTGAGTGTGTGAGGAATCTTGAGTGTGTGAGAAATCTTGATTGTGTGAGGAATCTTGAGTGCGTGAGAAATCTTGAGTGTGTGAGGAATCTTGAGTGTGTGATGAGAAGTATTAATATTGTCTAAGTGTGTGGTGAATATTATTGATATTGTCTAAGAGTGTGGTGAATAGTATTGATGTTGTATAAGTTTGTGGTGAATAGTATTGATATTGTCTAAGTGTGTGGTGAATAGTATTGATATTGTCTAAGTGTGTGGTGAATATTATTGATATTGTCTAAGTGTGTGGTGAATAGCATTGATATTGTCTAAGTGTGTGGTTAATATTATTGATATTGTCTAAGTGTGTGGTGAAAAGTATTGATGTTGTCTAAGTATGTGGTGAATAGCATTGATATATTGTTTGTGATGAATAGTATTAATATTGTCCTAGTTTGTGATCAATAGTATTGATATTGTCTAAGTGAATGGTGAAAAGTATTGAAATTGTCTGAGTGTTTGGTGAATATTATTGATATTGTCTAAGTGTGTGGGGAAAAGTATTGATGTTCTCTAAGTTTATGGTGAATAGTATTGATATTGTCTAAGTGTGTGGTGAATAGTATTGTTATTGTTTAAGTTTGTGGTGAATAGTTTTGATATTGTCTAAGTTTGTTGTAAATAGTATTGATGTTGTATAAGTTTGTGGTGAAAAGTTTTGATATTGTCTAAGTTTGTTGTAAATAGTATTGATATTGTCTAAGTTTGTTGTGAATAGTATTGATATTGTCTAAGTTTGTTGTAAATAGTATTGATGTTCTCTAAGTTTGTGGTGAATAGTATTGATATTGTCTAAGTTTGTTGTAAATAGTATTGATATTGTCTAAGTTTGTGGTAAATAGTATTGATATTGTCTAAGTTTGTTGTAAATAGTATTGATATTGTCTAAGTTTGTTGAAAAAGTATTGATATTGTCTAAGTTTGTTTATTTCTGAGAACAGAGAATGCATCTTTTCTTTCCTATATATCAAACCCATACTATCTTGCAGGGGACACCGGATTCAACCTGCATTCTTATATTATTTATTCTGTACTCTAATACATACCAGGAGCAAAACAATCCCAGAGAAAGAGAATATTCACCAATATCAAGTTTATTTTATCGAAACTCAAAACCCCCCTAGACATAACTTGAGTTTTTTTAAGCGAGGGGGCTAAATTCTTTGAAAGTTTGATAATGAAACTCTCTTGAGTGTGTGAGGA